ACTGACGGGAGTGTCACGTACCACACTCTGCCAGAGCCTTCGCTTTAAACCACAGCCACGCTTGGTTCTGCCGCAGGTGCTCTGTAACCTGTGCTGGCAGTCTTGCTTGTGCCTAGAGGTTCCCCAGGGACTATCCACCACCTTGGTCTTCCCTGTGTGTTTTAATCACTTCTAGTCTGGTGAAGACTCCACCTCCTCATTTCCCTGGAATGTGGCCTGTTCCTTCCCTGTCAGTTTTAGGATCCATTTGCTAAGTTCTACGCTGGAATTTTGGTTTAGAGACTAAAAGAATACACTCACTTGAGAGAATTTTCCAAGACCTTTCTGAAACGCAAGCCTGGTCCTCAGGAAGCTGGCCAAGTAGCCTTCCTGTCAAGCCATCCCCTTCTACTGGAAGCAGTAATGATTTGCTCTGGGATACTGGTCGGTGACTAGACTGAACCAACATTTTCTTTCCAGGACTCCTGTCTGACAGTTCCCTGCCTTTCTAGAAAGTCTACTGGGCTGAACTCACTGGCCCTCAGTGCTGCTGACGAAGGCTGCTGAGGCCATTTTGTCCCCACTTACTCATGGGTGCCTTGGACTTCTTGGTCAGGGGCCCTCAACTTGGTGCCTGGAGTTGGAGACTTTTGGGTTGCTCGGGAAGAATCAGTCATCCTTGGGTTCTGCTTTGAAATGGACATATGTTTTGGAAAGTGGCAAAGTGTGCTGGTGGCTGCCCGGCTACACTTGGGCCTGAGATGCACACATCAGTGATATGACAGATTCCTCCTGTGAACATGCTCATTGTTCTCTGAGCTCCGTCTCCGGAACTGCTTAGAATTGTTTCCTACGTGTCCAGGCCCAGGGACAGCGCTCTTTTTCTGTCCCTGCTGTCACTTACATTCCTCCAAGAGCTCAGCTTCCATCACCTCTAATCATCCCTGGATGACTTGTCCTTTGTTCTTGGATTAAGCCCCACCAGTTGTCACTCACCCCAGCCAAACTTCACAAGGGCCCGGGCGGGATGTGTTTCAAGCATGCCCTGCGCCAAGTTTGCACAGAGTAGCGCTCAGTAGACAACAAGCACTGGCCAGGGAGGACAGGCAGGGTTTCTGCCGGGCTCCATTTCCATGTTTGGAAGAGAAAGGGCCCAATGGAGGCCTTGTTCTTTCTCTCCCATGGAGATGTGATTTCCTCAGATTAGGCAGGAAGCTGGGCATCCATAACGTGGGGACTACTTGCCTTTCTGTGGTGCTGGTCACACTGAGTGAATGCCCCTGCTGTGGATGGCACAGCTGGTCTCCATGTCGAGCAACTTCCTATGCAAGGGAACAACCTAGGTCTCAAAGACACTCTGAAAACATCCCATGTTCATTCCTTCATTCCAGCCCAGTTGGCGGGTGGGATGGGGGTGTGGGTGTCTTGTCACCGACTCTAGTCCAAAGGGTTCAAGGTGAAGTGGCAAGGTTTGGTCTGGGACCAACTGGAGTTGGGATGGATATTTTTAGTTGGATGAGCCTTTAGCCACCAGGCACCAGAGCAGTAACAGTTTCACCTACAAAACTAGAGAGTGGAGTGGCATCTGAGTGCCAGCCGCTCCTCAAGGACACCCAGGATACTGGTTAGCCCTGAAAGGGTGCATGATGGTCTCAGGTCAAACAGATACGCCAAAGAGAAGCACCTCATCTCAGTAGGTCTTCCGAGAGTTCCCTTGGGTTCCCCAGGGGTCTCACTGGGAGCTGGGTAATTAAATTCCTGTCCTCTGCTCTGGCTCCTACCAGATCCCTATCCTGACACCACACACACGAGCACACGGGATCACAGACTCAGCACACACAAACATATTCCCAGTCTCACATGCTCACACATTCAAACACGCTCATGCCCGTATACATATGTACCATACATGCTCACACAGCCTTGAATCTACGCACACAGGTCCTCTGGAACATTCTTACACCCAACTTCTACCCATGCTTCTGTTCCCACATACATGCTTACACACAATCATTCTCTTCTACACATGCTCATGCGGCCCCCACAACATCCCTGTGTTAACCCTCACATAATCACTCCAGTCTAGTGGTTCTCAGTCTTCCTAATGCTACGACTCTTTAACACAGTTCCTCATGTTGTGGTGACTCCAACCATGAAATTATGTCATTGCTACTTCGTAACTGTAATTTTGCGACTCTTTTGAATTGTAAACATCTGATATGCAGCCTCCAAAGGGGTCAGGACTCACAGGTTGAGAACCGCTGCTCCAGCCATTATACCTCTGCAACAGTCATCTCTTTTCTGGTGTGTGTTGCTACACTCTGACTGCAGCTTTCCCACCTCCCCGCTTAGAGAAGCCTGCGTTGTGATCACGTCTTCCGGGCCCCCTGTAGAATTTTCCCAGACCCTGCACTTGAGGTGGCTATGGCCCCAGTGCCTGGTACCTGTGGCCCTGCCTGTCCACAGGCCTGTGTGCTCTTAGAAACAGGACATACACCCTCGCCCGGCAAACTGGGGTACCCAGGGCCACTGCCAATCTCCATTATCTGCACCACCAGATATCAAGGGTACCGCAGGCAGATCCACAGCACCTCAACACACTGACGGTTCATTCACTCTGAGGCCTTCAGTATTCAGTCAGGATTAGCTTTCCCTGGCTCTCCCATCATGGAGTTTTAAAAACTATATTTTTTTCTTGTGATGGTTTGAAAGAACATGGCCCCCAAAGGGAGTAGGACTATTAGGGGATGTGGCCTTGTTGGAGGAAGTGTGTCGCTGTGGAGGGGGGCTTTGAGGTCTCACATATGCTCAGGCCACGCCCAGTGAGACAGCCACTTCTGTGGCCTGCACACAGCTCCTTCCCCAGCACCATGTCTGTCTGCGTGCTGCCATGCTTCCTGGACTAGACCTCTGAAACTATAAGCCACCCAAATTAAATGTTTTCCTTTATAAGAGTTGCTGTGCTCATGGCGTCTCTTCACAGCAATGGAAACCCTATTTCTCTTTTGGATCTTCATTTAAAAATTATTTCAAATGGCCAGTGGTGGTGGCACACACCTTTATTTACTTTTTAAAAATATATTATTCCTTTATTTATTTTGTATACACTTTTGTGCTTGCATGCCAGCAGAGGGCACCAGATCTCATTCCAGGTGGTTGAGAACCACCATGTGGTTGCTGGGAATTGAACTCAGGACCTCTGGATGTATAGTCAGTGCTCTTAACCACTGAGCCATCTCTCCAGCCCCCGGCACTCACCTTTAATCCCAGCACTTGGGAGGCAGAGGCAGGTGGATCTCTGTGAGTTCGAGGCCAGCCTGGTCTACAGAGTGAGTTCCAGGACAACCTCCAAAACAATACAGAGAAACCCTGTCTCAGAAAACAAAACAAAAGTTAGAATAATTTCAAGCTTAGGAATGGTGGTACACAACTTCACTCCTGGCACTCAAGGGGCAGAGGCAGGCAGATCTGTGAGTTTGAGGCCAGCCTGATCTACATAGAGAGTTCCAGTATGGCCAGGGCTATACAGTGAGACCTTGTCTCAAAAACAAAACAAAACAAAAATTCAAATTAGCAAAAACTGGTGTGAAATTAGGTAAGGAATTTCCATATAGCCTTACTCTTCACTAGACTGGAGCTACTGTTCCGTGCTTCCCATGCTGGCACATGGTCGGCTGGGGACGGTCAGCAAGGTAAAGGCTAACAGATGATGGATGCAAGGGCCTCCAGACCCATAAGGGACTGCCTGGGTTCTAGATACATAGATTACTGGACAAGGACGCAGGCACACAGAAATCCCGTAAGCAATGGGGTTAATGCTTCCCTCAGCAAGGAGACATCCAGGAAGGGTCCTGGGTTCCTGCCGATGACCCTCTGGGTTTCTGCAGCTGTGTAGGTGGCCGCTGTGAGGGCAGTCACAGGCTCCGTCCTCACAGGCTCTGTCCTCACAGGCTCTGTCCAGGGGTTGCTTTTGTCTCTAAGTGAGCCATCGGTTGTAGCTAATATGGCCTCCCCTAGGATTTGGCCACAGACTATCCTGGAATTGTTTACATTTGGCATCTGAATTGAAACTTGGAAGACTTAGAGATAAATCAAAATGATGGAATTTATGACTTTTTTCTATTTTAAATGCCCCTGGCCAGCCAGCCCTCCTGTTCCCTGCTGCTGTTTTAGCTTCTCTAGAGAACATGGGTGTGGCCTTCTGCATGGGTGTGGCTATCTGCAGGAGCTGGTATCAGCCTACCTCCAAGCAGGGAGCACATCTGAGCTGTGGCGGGCCTCGAGTTGGAATCACAGACGTGGCTCCTCTCCTCAGGGTTGACAGAGCAGCCCAGGAGGATTGTCCGTCCTGTCCTAATCCAGTGGTCACCTGCATGTTGTACCAGTGACCTTGACATAGGGTAGGGTTTTGTTTTATTTGGTGATTTTTAGTTTTGTTTTCTTGTTTGCTTTTTCTTTGGTTTTTTGAGGCAGGGTTTCTCTGTGGCTTTGGCGCTGTCCTGGAGCTCGCTCTGTAGCCCAGGCTGGCCTCACAGGGCTCTTCCTTCCTCAAGGCATGCCCCACTACCATGCAGCTGCACTGATGTTTTACCTGTGTGTGTGTCTGTGTGTGAGGGTGTCAGGGTGTCCGACAGTTGTGAGCCATCATGTGGGTGCTGGGAATTGAACCCAGGTCCTCTGGAAGGACAGTCAGTGCTCTTAACCACTGAGCCATCTCTCCAGCTCCAACGCAGAGTGGTTGTATAGACACTCATGGGTATCTGTCCATGCTGCGTCCTGCATCTCAAATCTGACAGAGGTCAAGCGTCATGGTAGAGCAGTCTTTTCCAGGTCGGGGCTCACCGCCTGGTGGTGTAACTGTTCCAAGTAGGCCCTGCCAGGATGCTAACTGCGGCAAACGCCATCGGGCCCAGCCCCGCTCAGGTCTTCCTCATTTGACCCAGCTTGCTATGTAGCCCAAGCCGGCCTTGAACTCACGGTGATGCTCCTGCCGCAGCCCTCACTCTCCGCTCTGTTGGCAGGATTTCTTACGACCCTGCTCGCTTCCCGAGGTACCTGCCTGAGGCCTACTGCCTGTGCCGCGGCTGCCTGACCGGGCTCTTCGGTGAGGAGGACTTCCGCTTCCGCAGTGCACCTGTCTACTCCCCTGCCGTAGTGCTGCGCCGCACTACGGCCTGCGCCGGCGGCCGCTCAGTCTACGCCGAACACTATGTCACCATCCCAGTGGGCTGCACCTGCGTGCCTGAGCCCGACAAGGCCTCGGACAGCGCCAACTCCAGCATGGACAAGCCAGGAGCCAAGCTGCTGCTCGGGCCCAACGACAGGCCAGCGGGGCGCTGATGCCTGACTGGCACCACCCAGCTTCCTGCGCGCATCTGCTCCCCCAGCCCCACCCCCCCAGCCCTGCCGCTGCCCACTTCTTCCTAAGGGACAGCTACATAAGCTTTAAATATATTTGTATTTTTTCAAAGTAGGCACTACATACCTAAGGCTATTTTAAACAGAGACAGAAACTATTTTCATATTAGTAATTTAGAGCAAGCGTATTATTTTTAAAACTTCCTTGACATACAAGCGAATTATAAACATCCGTTTTCCTCTAACAGGATTCTTGCGCCCGTAATTGTGGTGTGCAGATGAACTTCTGTTAGCTTGATGCTGTGCCCTGTCTCTGAGTTCAGCCTGTTGCCAAGCTCACCAAGGTGAAATGGGTGCTGCAAATCTGTGCCCTGAAGTCCTCTCAGGTCAACAGAGAGGGATTTGAGGGGCCTCCGGGTTCCAGAAACCAAACTCTCTTTTGTTCTTAGCATATGGATGGTCTCCACTTTGTGACAGTTTGCTTTGGTGTTATTCTTCCTCTTTTGGAAGCCACTGGTCTCAATGTATGGCCAGAGGTGGAATGTGACATCGTAGCCAGTTCTCAGGGAGCTCCAAGCACACACGGGCTTAGTTTTACTTAGTTTTACTAGCTTTTGGATCCAGCCAAACCTGAGGAGGAAGAGGGAGTGCCCAGTCTCCAGTGTGTGGAGCTAAATCCTTACTCTCGTGTATGTGGGAAGCCTCCCCTGAGCATATTTGTAGAAGTTCTTTCTAAATCACTAAAACAGTGGTAGCTGAAGGGTATGGTGGCCATGTGCATTTCATTTCTTTCCACATTTTCTTAGGTGAACTTGTTTGGAGTGTTGGAAGCCCAAACCTTTGGACATTCAAAGTAGGATCTCTCACGCCCTCTCCTGACTCACTTTCAGAAAAAAAAATGTCCTTATGTCACTGGGGATGTGCCCAGTGGAACCCATCTCCTGCACTTACCCCTACATCAGTTTTGCCTGTCACATGCTTCTTGGTGCCACTATCTGGCAAACCAACCAAGGACCCAAAACAGTGAGTACACACACTTAAGTTGGAACCTTCAGAACCGGGAGCCCAGGGACATGTTTTCCCAGATCATCTCAGGCACTGTGCTATAGCAATAGGAAGCTAACACAGTGTCTTTGGAGTGCATGCTCGGCTCCTGTCATCAAGCTCCTGGGCAACAGCTGTGGGCAAGACACAATTGCTTTCTTAAACTAAGACAAGAGCACCTTTAATGCCAGCACTCGGCAGGCAGAGGCAGGCCTGTGAGCTCAAGACCAGCCTAGTCTACAAAGAGTTCCAGGACTATTACACAGAGAAACCCTGTCTGGATTACCACCCTACCCCACCTCACCCCCACCCCGGCAAAAAAAAAAGCCAATAGGGGATTTACATCAGCTGGAGTCCTGTATTCCACTTTTTGGCACCTCACACAGTGGACACGGCTGCACAGGTCTGCCTGGGCGGTTTGTTCCTAGGCTTTGCGGTAGAGCAGGTCCTGATACTGTAAACACCATTCCTGCTTCCTCCACCCCCAGAAAAGTTTCTTGGTGCATGTTTCCAACGAAGAAATTCTGTAATGGGGACTCTGGGCATTGCTTGGCATGGAGGTATTTATTCTGTAGGTTACCTAAGATCTTTTTAGAATCACCTGGTGGGGGAGTAGTTTGCCTTGCCCTTTGTGTCAGTTACGGTCAACAGAGATCCAAAATTATTAAATGAAAAACTCCAGAACTAATTCTTAAGGTTTAACTTCTTTTTTCCAAGACAGGTTTCTCTGTGTAGCCCTGACTGCAATGGAGCTCACTCTGTGTACCAGGTTGGCCTCGAACTCACAGAGATGCACCCGCCTCTGCCTCCTGAGCGCTGCCTGGCTACCCATCATTCTACACACGGTTGAAAGCTTGACATTCTGCTTCTTGCTGGAATGGAGTTATCCATCTGCCCAGTGTTTCCGTTTTGTATCTGCTACCTGCCTGTGAGCCACTTCGTGATAAAAGATCTTGTCTTCTCAGGCCACCTGTCACAATGTCACGGTACTTATATTGCAGTGACTTTATTTAACAATGGCCCTGAAACCAGTGTGGTGGCATGTACAGCTGTAATTCCACCATGCATCAGGCTAAAGGCAGGAGGATGGCTGTGAGTTTGAGGCTAGTTTGGGCTATAGAGAACTGTCTCAAAAGTCTGGAGGAAAAATGCTTTGAAGTCAGTGTGGTGGCACACCCTCCAGTCACAGCTACTTAGGAAACTGAGGCAGGAGGATCATTTTAGTATAGTTAATAGGCAAAATAAAGAGACCCTTGTGAAGAGAAGCCTTTTCCTTGCTAGCCGCTTTGGTTTTTCCCCACCAGTCGCCTGGGCTCTGCCACGTTGCAGTCGCCAAATAAACACACAGGACACTGTATTAATTATGAAGTTGTTGGCTGTTTGCTTGTTTCTTACTGGCAAGCTCTGACTTAAGTATTTAACCCATCTAAGTATTTCTCTTACTGGACGGACATCTTACTTCTCTGGCAGGCTACATGATGACTCTGTGTTTCTCCTACCCAGAGTCCTCCTGGACTCCTAGTCCCACCTATCTTGCTTCCCTATTGGCCAACAGTGCTTTATTGACATATAAACAGGACTTCCCCATCAGACCCTATTTTGTATATTTTTATATGGGGGAATCCAAGGTGCAGGATTTTTATCACAGTTCATTGTTATAACTGTATTAGCTACTGCTATTGATCTCAGTGTGTCTAATTCACAAATCAAACTTTCCCCTAAGTATGAAGGTAAAAGAAAAAGCAAGGCAGGACTGGGGACATGGGTCAGTCACTAAAGGGCTTGCTGTACCAGCGTGAGGACTTTTCCAGATCTTTTGTGTTTAGAAGACCCACCTAAACCTGGCCATACCTTCTGGGCCACACCTTCTGGCGGCCTCCTATATAAAGGGCTAGGAGAGAAAAGTTTCAGGTTTTTGCCTGCTTGCCCTCGCCCTCCCTGGTAAGTCCATATGTCCTGAAGCTGAGGCATTCCTTCATTAGTATTAGAGCCTACTTCTTCAGGATTCAGATGTATGCCAAAAAGAAACTGAGACATCCAGCTGCGTGGACTGAACAATAATTGGATTCTTGGACTTTCTGCCAGGACACAGCTCTGTTCCTTGAGAACAGTTTGACTTATAAGACACATCATTGTGTCCAGTTGACAGTAACTATGACATACTGTCTCCAAACAACACAGTCCAGCCAACCAACTTTGGGCTAATACCAGCAATTCCATTCAGGGGCCAATTACCCAAACCCTTAGTTTATTTTGTCTCATCAATGCAAAGGGAAGAACACAACAATAGGATGTTTCTTAGTAACTGGCTCAAGCTCTGATTTTAGACATGAAGGGGAGGGGCTGGAGAGATGTCTCAGAGGTTAAGAGCACTGGCTGCTCTTCCAGAGGTCATAAGTTCAATTCCCAGCAACTACATGGTTGCTCACAGCCAGGTACAATGAGATCTGATGCCCTCTTTTGGCCTGCAGGCAAACATGCAGGTAGGATACTGTATATATAATAAATAAATAAAAATATTTTTTTCTTAAAAAAGTGAAGGAACAAAGAGACAGATTCTGTGAGCAGAACTGCAAAGCCAGGATCTCCTGCCTCTTGGGGGTGGGCACAAGGATGAGTAGTAGAAGATTCTTTGCAACCTCTGAAATCCTTAGAAGATTGTATTACTTTTCTCATCCATATCACACCGAGTGTGGTTCATACTTTAAAGTCCATCACAGCTGGGAGAGCTTGAAGGCATCAGGTCACATCCCCTAACAGGATGGAGAGAGCCCTGTGTAGCCATCACTTGCATGGCTCACACCTAGTGACTCACTGATGCTAGCTAGCTGGGATGCAGGATCCATAACCTCCCAAATCAGCACCACCAGCTGGGGACCAAGTGTTCGAACACATGAGCCTGTGGGGGCCTCTTCACACTCAGACCATATACAAAGTATGAGGGGCAAAGTTGCTGAACACCGTGATGGTTGGTCTGTGTCTGCTCTTGTGATGTGGGCAGAGAGAAACGCCTTCAGGGCCAGCCTGCTTGAATTTAGCCCAAGCACCTCCGGCTGGTTAGACCGGAATGCACCCAATGAGTCTTCTGAGAGCTCTAGAAACAGCTGCAGGTCTTCATGAGGTTCAGAAATGGGTCACATATGAACACAGATATACCTCTACTGAAGCAACATCAAGGGTCCAAAAGTCATGAGGAATGTTGGCTGCTTCTTAAATGAGCCTGTTACAGGGTTGGGGACACAGCTCAGCTGGTAGAGCGCTTGTCTTGCGTGCATGGGACCCTGGCTTCAAATCTCCCAAAGGGGGCGGGGCTGGGGTACCAAACCTTCCTGATGTGGTTCTGTAGGCCTAGGCTTCTGACGAGTTGAGTTGTGTCCCATCTCTTTCCTACAGTAGTTGCAGCTTACAGGACAACTCCTTTCTGATTTCTACACTGTTGGCTGTCCACGGTTCCTAAACTGAACATTTCATTCTACATATACTTTGCCAATGTTGGTTTCTGTCCTAAGGAGTTTGGGGCAAATTGATTCCTACAGAAACAATAAGGTAGGGACTATTGTTTATAGAACATTTTTAACAATGCAACATGTACCAGATGTACCAGTTGTCTCCTATCTCTGAGCACAGACTCCTGTCCTTGGCCTCTGCATGTGGATCGCCTAGGACAGGCTGGTTGTTTCCTGTATAACAAGTCCATCTTCTCCGGTGCTGTCCTAGGGTCACTATTGCTGAGATGAAGCACCACGACCACAAGCCAGTTGGGGAGGGAAGGGTTGATATGCCTCACACTTCACACCACAGTCCATCACTGAAGGAAGCCAGGACAGGAACTCAAGCAGGGTAGGAACCTGGAGGCAGGAGCTGATGCATAGGCTGTGGAGGGTGCTGCTTACTGGCTTTGCTCCCATGGCTTGTTCTGCTTTCCTATAGAACCCAGGACACCAGCCTAGGGATGACCTCACCGGCAATGGGCTGGATCCTCTGCCATTGATCACTAATTAAGAACATGCCCTACAGACTTGCCTATGCCTGATCTTATGGAGGTGTTTTCTCAATGAGGCTCCCTCCTCTCTGATGACTGTTGCTTGTCTCAAGTTGGCAAAAACTAGCCAACACGGGTGCCCCCACAACCAGGATCAATACTCCCCCCCAGGGTTGTTGTGGTGCTGTCCAAGTCAAGGGACAGCTGATAAAGCATCTCCCACTTGGAGAATGGCGGTCGGTGTGGGGAGGGGATAAACAAGTGACATGTGCTGGCCAACTGATTCCTTTCCCAGAGGGGCAGAGTTTTTTTGTTGTTGTTTTGCTTGTTTGTTTTTAACTTTGACAAGATTGTTAGTCTCAAAAGTTACCAAACCACCAGAAGGATCTTATGTTCTCACTCTTGACTTGTCTTCCGTGGGGGGTGTGGTACACAAACTACCAACATGCCTGCTCCATTGGGGGAAATGTTTTTACTGGGGGTGAGAGAGACATCTAAAAGGCCGCCTAGGGAAGCAGGAGAGCGGGAGAGAACAGTGGGGATAGCAAAAGTCACATAGCAAGGCAGGGAAGAGCAAGAGCGCAGACGGGCAGGGCTAGCGTTCTCTGCTGCAGCTTCAGGCAATGAGACTCACAGGAAAGTGGGAGGGAACAGTGGAGGTCGCAAGAGACAGCAGAGAGAGTACGCGAGCAGAGAATAGAGTGCATTGTGAGCGTGAGGTAGTGAGGGAGCGCGGGTGGACAGATCCTGCGGAGTACAAGGAAGTAGACGGGGCAAGGGACTCCTTTTGGGGATGGAAAGCCAGTTTCACCAAGTTCCCGAGAAACATGGCTTTTATCTCAGAAATCCTTCTAGAGTCCAGCTAGAGCTCATTCCTAGACGTATGGCGGGCCTGAGACCTAGCACCGAGGGCAGAGCGTAGAGTAACTGTACTGTGACGTCACAGCCAGGAGAATGGCAATGACTGTTCTTGGATGCCATCTGGAGTCAGCCAGATTCACGTGCACTCTGTAATGTGATCACAAGTGGATCACGTTAACGTGGAGCTGCTACCACAGAAAAGGCCACAGGGTCCCAGTACCACAGGAGACATCCCTTTGTGGCCACTCAGCCTTCTTTGTCATGTCCCGTCCTGATCCCTGTCATCGCTACGCTGTTCTCCATTCTCAAATACTGTGACTGGAAACATAGGGAATGTGGGCTTTGGAGCTGCCTTTTCCACTCGCATGATGTCCCTCAAGATCTCTACCAAATTCTACATATCCGTGGTTTGGAGACAGTGACTCAGGCTGGCCCGATCCCAGGGCTGGGATTGCAGGCAGGTGCCACCTTCTATCTGGAAGGTGTCCCTTGATTGCTCTGTAGACTTCTGCGGTATGGATGGATGTAAATAGCTTTTAACAGCAAGGATACTGCACACCCCCCAGCTCTGTTGCTTGGTTATGGACTTTGGCCTGGCACCGCCATCCCTATGGCAGTGTGGGGTGAGGTGCTGAACTGAGCCACATGTGGAACAGCAGTGCTACATTCCACCAGGCTCTCCGAGCCGAAGGGAGGCTGAGCCCGGGAAGAGCTGGCACACCGGTGGCTTGGACCATCAACCCTGCCCATGGAAGTAGTCAGGTCTCCAAGCAACTGCCAGAGTATTCATTCCCAGTCCACTCGGCAGGCAAAAGCTGCCCATTTCATGGAAACTTCCAGCAGAGGCCAAGGTCATGGGCCATTCAGGAGGCCTGTTCTCTTTTCCCAGATGTTGACCAATTAGACAGCTTCTAACACTTCTGTCTACTCTAAGTCAATGAGCGTGGGTTCCTGTAAGAATCCCAACTTCAAGCCTGGTGGTGGCGCACACCTTTAATCCCAGCACTCAGGAGGCAGAGGCAGGCGAATCTCTGTGAGTTCGAGGCCAGCCTGGTCTACAGAGGGAGTTCCAGGACGGACAGGGCTGTTACACAGAGAAACCCTGTCTCGAAGACAAAAACAACAACAAAAATCCCAACCTCATTATAGAAATAGCAATGATAAGTTTTATTTTGAAAAAAATTAAGCCAGGAGAGTCCCAGTCCAAGGCAGAGTGAGGGGGAGGTCACATTTCAACAGAAAAAGAATAAACTGGGAAACATTTCCTTGGTGTCCTTTATTGTTAGATGTTGCCATGTGAATTTAGGTTTCACAGTCCAGACCAGAATCATAGTTCACGTAACAGCGGAACTCGTTGGCCAAGTTTCGGGAGTGCTCTGGAATAAACTTGCACACCTTCACACCCAGGAGCTGAGCGGCCTGCTCTTCCATGACGGCTCCTGTGAAGACCACACCAGGTATCTGAGATCAAAGGCATTCCCACAGCTGGGCTCTACATGAAGATCCCCAGACAACTGGGGGACAACCCCAAAGAACACAGGAGGTAGTGTTTATTTTATTTTCTGTGCATTGGTGATTTGCCTGCATGTATGTCTGTGTGAAGGCATCAGAAGCCCTGGAACTGGAGTTACAGACAGGTGTGAGCTGCCGTGTGGGTGCTGGGAACCGAACCTGGATCCTCTGACAGAGCAGCCAGTGCTCTCAACTGCTGAACTATCTCTCCAGCCCCAGATATAGTCTTTATATTCCCTTTTACTTCCTCTAACATGTTTGCGAAGTGCCTGCTCTTTCTACTTCTTGTTACTGTGTGTGTGTGTGTTATGTGGTGCATAGATGTGCTATGTGTGTAGTACATGTATGTGGCCATAATGGTGGTGGTTACTAAAAAGAATAGCCAACATGTATCCACACGCGTGAGTCAGACCGTGTTAAACGCATCATGTGTGCCGCATCACTCAATTCACAATGGCCCTCTGGGGCAAGGGAGGTCACCTGACTCCGTTAAGGCCATGCAGTAAATGGCAGATTCAGGATCCAGTTTTGAGATCTCTGCCAACTCTTGAAGCCAGCACCCTGACAGGGCCCTGACAGGATGTGAAGGGCAGCACCCACCTGTGCACAGCAGAATCTTGCCCCGAGTCAGGAACCGGACCGTTTCAGATGTCTTCCTGAGACATTCCTCAGACAGATAAGGAGGATCCACAACCACGATGTCAAAACTGTGCTCAGGGATTCTTCCAGGTAAGTCCAGTGGATTGTTGTAATCATAGAAGACAAATTCCTCCCCATATACGGCGAATCTTCTGTCGTACTCAAAGATGTATGCAGTGATGTCCTCCCTGTGCAGCTCCCGGAGCTTCTGATACACGCTGGGCGCACTCACACATGCAATTCTGGAAGCAAGTGCATAACTTGTATTTAGTTCGGTTCCACTTAAAACGTAAGATTCCTTGCCCCTTACTGGATGTGTTAAGTGTGACTGCACACACTGGAGACTCACACATTCATTCAGTTGTGTCAGAGTGATACCACTACATAATACACTGCATCCACGGGAAGTCTATGACTTATTTGCTGTATATTTGCAACTTTTACATCTGACCCCTTTTTAAAACAACTGCCACGTAATATGCTTATTTCCTCAGCGGCAGTTGGTGTGATAGGTCGAGCCTTCCTCAGGTTGGAAGTCTCTTTTGAAGACACCACACTTAAGGCTCCAGTATGTCCTCTCGGGCTTCCCACTTTAAGCATGTAGTCTCCAGTGCGTGAGGCTCTGTGACGACTGCACTGTTTGGTCTGCAGGCGGCTCTGTCAGTTCACTGTGACGTGCACCAGGCGTTTTCTTCTGGGCCACCAACCAGCTCCCAGATCATGACAGAGACTTGTTACAGTTCTGGATGCTTGGCCTAACTCAGGCTCATTTCTGGCTAGCTCTTTTAACTTAAATTAACCTTTTGCCTTGGAGCTTGTTTCTTATTTTCTGAACAAAGAACAGTTGCACACACAGATTCACAGCAGTTGGACAGTATGCTCAAGACCTGTGCAAAAAGCTGGGTGTGGTGACTCATAGATAGCTCTGCAAGTTCAAAGCCAGCCTAGTCTACATATCCAGTTTCAAGGCAGTTAGAGCTACATGGTGAGATGCTGTCCCAAAACAGAAACAAGCAAGGTGGTGGTGCACGCCTTTAATCCCAGCACTCGGGAGGCAGAGGCAGGCGGATCTCTGTGAGTTCCAGGCCAACCTGGTCTACAGAGGGAGTTCCAGGACATTCAGGGCTGTTACACAGAGAAACCCAGTCTCGAAAATACAAAAAATAAAACAAAACAACAACAAAGCAAACAGAAACAAAACAACAACAAAAGACCTGTGCCAGCTCAGGCCAGAGTGAGCTCCGGGGAGAGGAGAGGAGGGGAGGGGAGGGGAGGGGAGCACAAAGTCCGAGCTAAGGAGCTCCTGGCAGCTGACAGTTGCTAGTGAAGGGAAAGAAAACGTATGGTATACTCCCACAAACACACACACACACACACAGAGAGAGAGAGAGAGAGAGAGAGAGAGAGAGAGAGAGAGGTTGCTTCTAATTAATATTTAATGGTAGACATTATTAATTAGTGGGAAAATCTAACATCAAAAAGAAGTGTTATCACCAAATGTTATAGCTTCAACTTCAAATGTCCTATAGAGATTTGTATATTTTGTTTGTTTGTTGTTTTGTTTTTCAAGACAGGGTTTTCCTGGACTTGCTTTGTAGACCAGGCTGGCCTCGAACTCAGAGATCTGCCCAAGTGCTGGGATTAAATGCATGAGCCACCACGGCCCAGCTGAGATACACATGGAAAGCCTCGCTCACTCTCTGGTCATTAGAAGGGGGCTGTGAGAGGAAGCTGGGTCACAGGGACTGTGCTTCCTTGCTTAGTTTCCTGGCTGTGTGTGCTGCTTCCTACAGCTCAACTCACCATAACCAAAACCTCCAAATGCATGACCCACAGGAGCCATTTCTCAAGTATTTATCAGTGCTTGACAGCTAAGAGAAACCAATGAACAGCAACGTAAAATCCAAAGACAGGAAAACAAGACTTCCAGCTGAGGAAGTCACATGGGGCACACTCACATGAATCACATGTATTCACTCATCAAAGCCCATTTAGCAAACAAGTAAAACTTCACTTTGTTTTGTTGTTCAGGAGTAAATTTCTGTGAGCAAAGGAAAACAGGCAGAAAGTACACTTAGGAAGCAGACGGGTAAACAGGTGGGTGATTGGCTCAGTTGACCCAAGCAGCTAACCCTGGCATTAGCAGCCAGGAGAGCTGAGCAGTCCCTGGCTTACAGCACAGCATCCCCAGGGGCTCCGGGTAATGCAGACCCGGGAAACTCAAGACACCAGGATGAAGATGGGGCTAAAAACAGAAGTTGTTGAAAGATCTATTTAAGAAACAGTTTATTCCCAGGAGTCTCTGTCATGTTCCCATGTGCTAAGGTAACTGGAGAAAACTGGAGGACTGTTTCGTGGCTTGGGGGATGTTTGGGAGGAACATGGCTGACAGATGGCAGAAGGTACACTGTGGAAGTCATAAGGGGGCCGGGTGCTTTCATAAAGCACGTGGAGGACCTCGGCGTACTCCATGGCAGGCGAGGGTGACCGAGGGGACGGGGACACGCCAGGCAGACAGCTTACATGAGAAGTTTTACTAGAAAGGGAAGGGGGTAAGGAAAGAGAAAAGAGGTAAAGAGACACAGAGACAGAGAGAGGACAGACGAGAAGAGGGAGACGGGAAAAGTTCTGTCTGCCCCAGGGGCGCAGAGGGAAAGAAGGAAAATGAGCGGCAAAGAGAGAACAGAAAGAAAGCATACATGGGGTCCTTTGCACCTGGGCTGACCAGGGAACTGCCTGAGTGAATTCTGCCAGGTGACGGGCAGGCCAGCACGATGCCTGAATCCTTACACCCGGGATGTAGTTAGTGGAAGAGCAAGGCCCTGGATTCCAGTCCCAGCACCATGGGTAGCAGGCAGAAGATGTGAAGTTAGGTCACAGTAAACTAACTGGATGTTGACACTCCCTCCAGTCACCGAGGGCTATGTAACCTCCAGGCAGGAATGAGGAGAATCTTGTCTGGACCTCCAACCAGCCCAAGGGTAAAGCCCCAGAGGCTTCCTGGAAAACAGCTCATCCTGATCCCTCACTAAGAAACCGAAGCAAAAAGAGGGCTAGGGTGCAGCTTGCCAGTGGACTCTGAATTAGTCCCCAGCACACACCAGACAGAATAAAAAGACGAGGTCCACCCTTAGGTGTGAAGCAAAGGCAGGGCTCCAGGAGAACATCTGGTCTCTAATAGATATCTAATACCAACTACAAGGGACAATCACTGTAGCCTCAACAGAGGGTGTGCAGGAAGGAGACATTCCTCATGTACTCAAGGCCTAGTACTCCGCTGGAGTGTCACTCTGAGGGTAGAATGGATACTTAGTGGGCTGGTGTATATGGCTGGAGGAAGCAGGTCACTGGGGGTGGATAGGCCCCTGTGTGTTTGCTGAGAGGTACCAGAGTCCTGAAAGGAAGCCAGCACACCAGGAACTGAAATGTCTGAAACTATAATCCAAAACAGAATCTAAGTCACTTCTCTCAAGCATCCATCACAGAACTCAACAGCAGATACAAGCTGAGGATTCTTCCAGAAAATCTGGGTAGAGACAAATGGTTTGCGCGCACGGGGGGGGGATGAGAGGATCAGGTCCCATTCTCAAATAACAGAAGTACCTGGAAAAGAAACCAAAAACAAAGACACACACACAGCATGATGGGGAAATCGAAGAAATTATTTACGATAACCTGATAACCTCCCAAGTCAAACATGAGCCATAATAATGAAAGGCCTCCCCAGGGTCCAGGGTGATAGAGGAAATTGCACATCAAGACACTAAATACCGGCATTAAGAGAGTCCTAAACATGCAGTGGGTAGGGATGGAGAAAGCAGATTTTCTACAAATGGTCAATATAATGTCACATTCCTTTTTTCTTTTTTAACATTAGGTTTCTCATATTTTTGGTTGTGAGCCTAGCCTTTAACGACTGAACCATCTCTCCAGCCCAAATATTGGGTTTCTTAACAGTAATAATGGAGCAACATTTTCAAAGCCAAAATTAGACACTCAGCAAAACTATTAAGTTCAGAGAAATCAAACCAATTTTCTGGCAAGTCCCTCCTGTAGACCTCTTCTGTGGAAGCCATGGGTGTAATCTGCTTAGATGAGGCTGTAAATTAGGGTTGGAGCACAGAAATAGGTAGCCTAGAACAGAAGTGGCTGAAAGACCCCAGCACACTGGCCAGGAGATCCCTCAGTAAGAGCTGGCACAAAGCTAGAGGGTGGCCCTCGGAAAATACTTTCCCCTAAGAAGCTAAGGATGTAGCTAGCTTGCTATAAAGTGCTTGCCCAGCAAGTACAACAGCCGGCATTTGATCCCTAGCTCTGCAAAAGAAAAAGAGAAAAAGTGGAAATGAGAAATGTTATTGTGAAGGTTGTTGTGGTAGCTCACATGTGAAATCTCAGCACTTGGGAGATGGAGGCAGAAGGATCAGGAGTTCAAGACCAGCCTCAACTACATAAAAAGTTTGATGTTAGCCCGGGCTGTATGAGGCCCTGTCTCAGAGAGAAAGATGGATGTGTGTGTGTGTGTGTGTGTGTGTGTGTGTGTGTGTGTGTGTGTGTCTACACTGAAGAGATAGATTTCCCAGTGTTCACTAGACTTAGTAATGGAGTTCTTAGTGAGCTATGAGCTGCAAACCATGTGACAATATTCATATATTATAATTCAGACTTACAAGAAACCATCTCATTTAGGAAGGACATTCAAAATACTCATTTATACATTCATCTGTGTCTCGTATGTGTCATGATTGTGTTTCCGTGTGTCCCTCAAACTAATTTAAACGAGAAAGGAAAAAGAAACAAGGTCTGAAGCTCACCTGCCACCTTCTCCAGCAGCAGCGACAGCTTCCTGTGCGAGTTGCAAAGCGGTGTCCTGACTATACCAAAACTGGCTCAGCTGCTGTAATGGGGACAGGATGACCGTCTCAGAACTCATACACGTGTCTCTCAACCTATCCCTCCTAAACCAGTATACATATATTTAACTTGTCATCACTTTTCTTGCAAGTTATTTAAAATCAGTACAATCCCCCAGTGTCTCATCGGAATCAACACACTGGGTTGCTATCAGGGGCTGTTCATGTCACAGTGCTAGCGCCAACAACCAGCCAATGCTCGCTCTCTTGATGGCAGAACTTACCCCACAGGAACCCGATCAGGCTTCTAGAGTCAACCATCACTAAACAGAAGCAGAGGACACAGAAGACACCTGCGGCCACTCAGTGGTGTCCATGGCTTCCTTTGTCTTCACCTCATGTTTCCCAGGTTACTTGCTTGTTCCTCACAGTTATGCTTGCTTTTAGTTTTGATGTTTTGTTTCATACTGATGGGTGACTTTCTTTAAATTTCTGGTGGCTCCTACTTACATGTTCATATTTGTAAAGGAAGGATAATGCTAATGTGAAAAAGGCAGTTTGGTTTGCCTCTGTGGTCAGCCCATTTCTCCACCTCTCCTCCTAGGAAGTTCCAGCTGTAACGCACACAGTCTCTGCTTGAAAATCTGCCCAAGGCTGGGGATGTAGGTTAGCGCTCGCCTGGCACGTGTGGGGCCCTAGGTCCTAGAAGATTATTTTTTTCAAGTAATGACAATCTCTCAAGAATACAAACAAGCCAAGAGCCTCCCAGGTCAAAAGCAGGCACCCACAAAAATAGTCTATACCCACACAGTGGACTATGGTCCATCCAGAGGGACCTAGGTACTGACAAATGCTATGGTGTAGATGAGCCTTGGAAACACTGAGCAGGAAAAAAATCAGACTCAAAACCCCACTTGTTAGGTGACCCATACAATGGAATACCCAGAGAGGCAACAAGAGGGAACTGAAAGGAGTCTAGAGCCGGGCGTTGGTGGTGGCTCACGCCTTTAATCCCAGCACTCAGGAGGCAGAGGCAGGTGGATCTCTGTGAGCTCGAGGCTAGCCTGGTCTATAAGAGCTAGTTCCAGGACAGCCTCCAAAACAATAAGGAGAAAACCTGTCTCGGAAAAAAAAAAAAAAAAAGACTAGTTGTCAGGCAGTGGGAGAACTATCAGTGAGGCCATGATAGCAAAGGGGAGAGGTAGGCTTCCTCCTGAAAATGTCTGCTGGGCGGAGACAGAGCTCAGTGGCAAGAACACCTGTTGTTCCTACAGAGGCCCTGGGTTTAGTTCCCAGCGCCCTCATGGTGGCTCACACAGCTACAACTCCAGTTCCAGGGGATCCAGTACCTTCTTCTGACCTCCTTCTGACACACATGCAAGCAAACACTCACACACACAGAAATAAGTGAATGATTCTGTGGTTTCCAGAGCTGGGCATTCTTGCTCTTGAGTACACGGGGACATTAATTCACAGGTCTCACTCCTTATCTTGTCTCCTGCCTTTACAAGCTAGTCCTATGTCATCAGTTTTATCCATCATCTGTTTCCTTACCCTAAATCATAAACACTGCATCTTCTTAGTATTTTTATGTTTAACACTTCAATCCATGTAGACTTTAGCTCTGTGCTGAGGTTTAGCTCTGTGTGAGGACTGAGGTTTGCTGAGTCGAGGGCAACACAGAACCCAACACCTACTGTCACCCTGGACATTTTTTTCTGGCAAACATCTTTACCCACTGGCTGTCTCCCTGGCCTCTGGATGCTTTTTCTGGCTCTACTGCTAACCCAGTGTCTACACCGAGGCCCTTGCATTTTGTCATCACAATGCCTACCACAGCAGCCATCACTGTGGCCTTAGAATCTGCTTTATTTATTAACTATTGCCCAAACCCTCGTAGCTTATCTACTTACATTATGTTTGATTTTTATGTGTGTTTACTTGAGCACACGCACACACCCTCAGAGGCCACAAGAGGGCGTTCGATCCCTGGAGCTGGAGTTACAAGCAGCTGTGAGCTGCCTGTGGATGCTGGGAACTGAACTCGGAAATGCAAACACTCTTAATTGCTGAGCCAACTCTCTAGCACCTACTGCTGTTTTGTGTGATTTGTCATTATTTGGAGATAGGGGCTTGCACTTGCTCAGCCTGGACTGGAACTTATGTAGCCCAGACTGATGTCAAGCTCACAGCTGTTCTGCTGTCTCAGCCCCTCTGAAAGCTGGCCTCACAGTATGAGCGGCCATGCCTAGCCAAATGTTTTCCTTCTTCCTTCGGACACCTGAAATTGAATTCAGTGTCTTGTATGTGCTAGGCAAGCCCTCCATTTTCAACACTAGTATTTGCAGCACCCACATTGTGGCTCACAACCATCTATATTGGGATCTGGTGCCTTCTTCTGGCATGCAGGGATACATGCAGGAGGAAGGATGTATGCATAGTAAATAAATAAATCTTTTAAAAAAACAAAAAATTATAAAACTAGAAATTAACCTATTCTTAAAAAGTCTTTCATTGATGTTTTTCATTATGTTAGATTCAGCTACCCCTTTTACTGAAACAATATTTTTTTTTCCATCAGGACTGTTGGGTTCTAGGAAAACCAATAGGGTGTGCCTCCACTCAAGGACAAAGCACAAGCCATGTATGGACATGACAACATTATCCCACTACCTGTAAAACCCTTTCTCCAATCACCAGCCAGCCTGCCAGTCAGAGCCAGGAGAACGTGCACAGACTGTCCCAGGACGTCTGTCTGCTGTCGGATTCCTGCTCTTGCTCCCTACAGCATCCTCAGTTTCTGAATGACAGCTGGTAGAGGCGAGGACAGACAAAACAATGACGAGGCAATGGTAAGAGCCACCCGCTGTTCCCCGCCTGGGCTTACCCAGTTCTCCTCTATTACCCCAGCGTTGTATTTACCATCCCTTCCTGGGATGGCGAGCTGCTTCTGCTCAGCATAAAATTCCTGGAGGGCTGCTAAGGCGTGCGAAGAAAGCTGAGGTATATCATCATCTTCTGAATCGCTCATTTCACAAACTGTCTACAACCTGCAGAGCAAGAATATATGTTGCATGGTCTTGTTTCCTCTGCCCACCAAATAACGAGAAAAATTAAACTCAAAACAAGAACCCAAACGGAAGTGAATTTCTTCCCCCACTGAGACAGGGTTTCTCTGTAGCTCTGGCTGTCCTGGAACTCGCTCTGCAGACCAGGATGGCCTCAGAGATTCACCTGCCTCTGCCTCCCATGTGCTGGGATTAATGGTGTGTGCCACCCCTGCCTGTGGAGGTGAATTGTATACAGAAAGTACACATATTTAAAACTTTGTAGGGCTGGTGGGATGGCTTAGCAGGTGAAATCACTGGCTATGCCACCCTGATAACCCATGGCCGATCTTTGGAATCCCTGTAGAGACATGGCTCAGCAGTCAAGCACTGGCTGCTCTTCCAGAGGACCTGATTCTGTCTTCAGCAACCACATGGCAGCTCACAGGTCAATGACTCCAGTCCCAGGGGATCTGATGCCCACTTCCGGCCTTTACTGGCACCAGGCACACATGTGCATGGACACACATTAAGGCAAATACTCGTACACATAAAATTCAAATAAATAAAATCTAAAACAAACAAACAGATGAGGTGGCTTGCATGTGATAGCCCAGCCCCAGGAGAGAGACAGGAGATGGACACAGCAAAAATGAGAGGAACCCTGAAACAAGGTGGGACAGCCGGGCGTTGGGGCGCACACCTTTAATCCCAGCACTTGGGAGGCAGAGGCAGGCGGAGCTCTGACTTTGGCTTGGTGTACAGAGCCAGTTCCAGGCCAGCCAGGTTACAGAGACTGAGCGCCATGAGCACTGTGCCACGCCTGTGTGCCTACACACGCGAGCGCTAATCAAAGCTCTCTTTTGTCTTTCTTTCCCAGTGTCTTTAAGACTTTTCTATTCATTTCTGCCTTGTTGCACGTTCTACATGTTTCTAGTACTTTGGTTTACTAAGGTTCTTGTATCTGGGGGGGGGTCTCTAGTTTTTCAGCAAATCTGACAAAAAAAAAAAAACAGAAAAGCTTGTGGGCTCTGGGTATCAAGCTCATGGCAACAGGCTTGTCCACGAGAAACTTTACCACTGAGACACCTCAGTAACCCTCATCTTGACACTGCAGTTTTCATCTCTACAGACAGAAGTGTTCACATCTACACTTACTAAATCCACCCTTTGTCTGTGTTGTGCATTTGCCCCTGTGTGTGTCTGTGCGCCACGTGAATGCCTGGTGCCCGTGGAGGGAACTGCACTTTGTGACCTAGTGCCCCAAGCCTTGACAAACTTATGTATACATAGCCTACATGTTCTTTAACTTCCTGAACTGAAGGATATGCCCTCATATATGCGGTTTCAAAACTAAATGTGTGTGTGTGTGTGTGTGTGTGTGTGTTGGCATCAGTAAAAGGCTACTAACCATGCAGCAACCAAAAGGTAATTGAAAAGTCAGCACACAGGAACCTGTTGCCACCAGCGCGCTCACGCACCCTCCACAGCAGTTCACTACAAATGAGACAGCAAACTCCACTCCACTCCACCACTACCTTAGGAAGTACAGCTTGTCAAGGGTCTTACAGCAAGATATAAAAATCTCCTTAAATCTCTGTGAGTTCGAGGCCAGGCTGGACCGACAGCCTCCAAAACAATACAGAGAAACCCTGTCTCATAAAAAAAAAAAAATCTCCTTAAACTCATGATCCTTTCTCATAAGAAACTTTTGGTCACCCCTGATACACAGGCATATAGAATAATCAAATCAAACATTTGCTGATAGTAAGCATACATTTTATTTATTTTTGTACGTGTCTGGGCGTTTATCTATTTACTAAGGTAGTGGTGGAAGACAGGAGTTTCTGTCATTACCTTTTTGTGGGGGGGGGTGGAGGAAAACAGAAGACTTGGCCTCATTATGCAGCCCAGACTGTCCTGGAACTCACTATGTAGCTTAGGCTAGCCTTAAACTCATGACCCTGCTGCTTCAGATTCCTGAGATTACAAGTATGGGCTACCCCACATGGCTGTTTTATATTGTTTTTATAATATCTAAGTGGATTTGTGAAGTTCTGTTTAAGAGACTTTCAGGCCTGGGAAGTGCTGTTATCATTAAGCTGACCTGGAGCCATTCCTGGCTCGTATTCTAGATCAGTATTCTAATGGGAAAAGCCAGGAAATCACTCTTCTCCTAGGAGAAACATCTGCAAACATTTTTGGTTGTCATAATCCAGGGCATTGCTGGTAACCCATAGATAACAGCCAGCTATGGGGCTGAACTTTCTATAGATCAGAGACAGCCCTCCACTTCAAAGACAGAACCAGCCTGAACTGTCCTTAGGTTGAGGAACTTCAGGGACACAGGAATGGCAATGTGGGAACTGTTCTATTACAGAACTGTGGCTCGGCATCACGGGATGCATGGAAGAGTCTGTTGAGGAAAACAGCAAGGCAGCAGGCTTGACCGGAAAGGAGGGTAACAAGGTTACAGGAAGATGACTACCAAGGGCAAAGGAGGCAGGGATTTCTCTTGTCTTTTGGTTTTCTGAGACAAGGTTTCTCTGGGTAGCCCTGGCTGGCCTGGAACTCACTCTGAGATCTGCCTGCCTCTGCCTCCCAAGTGCTGGAATTACAGGAGTTGGATTACTTATTTGTATAAATATCTTCTGTCCCCAGGTATCAAATCTACCTCCGAAAACCACTAACAATATTGTATGTTTCTATAGACTATCTTTTGCAAGAAATTTAGGTCAAGCTGGGCGGTGGTGGCACATGCCTAGAATCCTGGCACTTGGGAGGCAGAGGCAAATGGAATTCTGAGTTCAAGACCAGCCTGGTCTGCAGAGTGAGTTCTGGGTCAGCCAAGGCTACAAAGAAACTCTATCTCAAAAAGCCAATAAATAAATAAATTTAGGTCAAGACAGTGTAACCCATCACAAAGAGAATTATCCGAGGATTCATCACAGAGTTGTCAGTACACTGCAGGGTAAGTGTACCTATAACCAGTTTGTGAAATGAAGAAACTGGCTTGTCTGGGTGGATCAACCTTTGGCCACAGACACATGTACACAGGATAACTATAAATGAGATTTTTTTCAACTGGGTTGGACATGTCTGGTAGATATTCTCTAAGTAACTTTTATTTTAAACAAATTAAAAATTCTATGTGTTGGGGTCTGAGTATGTACCTGTGGAGGCCACGGGATCCTCTGGAGCTAGAATCACAGATGGTTTTGCTTTATAATTCTGTGTGCGTGTGCGTGTTGAGACAGGGTCTCTCTACACAGGCCTGGCTGTCCTGGGACTCGCTCTGTTGGACAGGCTGACCCCAACTCTGCTCTGCCTGCCTCTGAGATTAAAGGCGCGCCCTCCCCCCACCACCACCTGGCTATGAGAATCTTCGGCTTGTACTTTCAGGCAAGGCTCTTAGCCTGAGACAAGTCCTTCCCTCCCATTTTGTGAGTTCTGCTTAGCCCGGTAAGCATTTAATTTTTGAAAGAAGATTGTTGGGTGTGGTGATGCAAGTGTGATAACAGGAAGCAAGGGTATCAATGAATTCGGGGTTAGCCTGGGCTACACAGAGAGACCGCCTCAGAAATAAACCCCACCACAACCTGAGATAAAGCTTCCACCGAGAAAGCAGGCCATGAACACGCAACACGGTGAGTTAGGGTGCCGCCCGGGAAGCCAAGGCCTGTGTCCAGCACGTGCCCCCTCCCCCTTCCCCGGCAGTCTCCCCGCTTCCGGTTGGAGCATCGTTCCGACCTGACCACCTGCGGGAGGCTAGGGCCCGTTTCCGGTCAAGATGCCCAAGGCCATGCAGAGCCGAGGCCCCCACTAGGAAAGTCTCAAAGGGTCAGCATGGACCGCAAGCCCCACCCCGTGCAGGCAAGCCCCGCCCCGTGGACCGCAAGCCCCGCCCCGTGGACCGCAAGTCCCGCCGAAGTCACCACTGAACGCACGCCGCCGCCACCACGGAACCCACAAGAAATTGCCCAAACCCACCTAAAGCCTTTAGGTCTGTGTCGCCCCACTCGGCGCCCGCCACTCACCAGTGACACATGCGCTCTAGCCGCGGTGCGCAGGCGTCGTGCGAGGGACGGCCGCGTTTGCGCAGGCGCAGACCGATCGGAAGCGGCTCTGAGGGTCTGGTCCCGCCCAGTGAACCTAGGTCCCCGGTGGTGAAGCTGTTTCTCGCTAGGTTTGTTTTAAATGGAAACACTGGCTAAAACAATAAAGGCTTCATAATATTAATGGGATTCAGAAAGTCTTTCGGACCCATTAGTCTCTCGGCGTCGAATGCACAGGGAGTATAGGAATACATATTTTACCTGTGCTGAATACTAACACCTTCCACAGCTATCAAATCACATGTAGTCTGTTTTTCTTTCAAGAGGGCAGGGAAGCTACACTATGTCCCTCCTTCCCCTCTGTTTGTCTGAGCCGCTTTACCTCGGCATATATGAATCGCTCAGCTGCTGATGCCATTCAATAAAGCACCTTGATAACGGGTTGGGTCACAATTTCTGTATACAGTACTCTTTTGTCCGTGAAAACTCATACTTCATTTTGATTCTGATTACTCTGAAAAGCTGACTTGTCTATTAAACCAAGTAGTTCAAAGCAAGTGCAACTTATCAAAATGGCAAGAAATGTTAAAACTATTAAACGAAAATGAATCAGGAAACCACCCACTTTTATGACTTAATAGAAAAGTTTGTGTTAAAGCAAATTATTTGGGGTCTGACATTTTTTTTAAGATTTAAATTTCCATTCCTTTTATAAGCATGTGCATAACAGTTAGCTTCATGCATTTTATTATATGCTATTTTTGTATTAAAGTATCCAAAGACACCAGAAAGTTCAAACCTTTTTTTGTTTTGTTTTTGTTTTGCTTATGTTTTTTCAAGATAGGAAATGTCTCTCTGTAGACCAGGCTAGCCTCAAACTCACAGAGATCTGCCTGCCTCATCCTCCCGAATGAGATTAAAGTTATGATCCACTGCCCAGCTAAAACTTTTTCATCTCCAATAGTTGCTGGCCACTCATGTAATACATAATGGTTAATATTTTCCCTGTGAAATTTATGTGTTATAACTTAAATATTTTTCATAAATCATAAAAGTAATATCAAAGGCAAACTAATTCTTATTGGAATAAAGGTAAAATTATTCAGTCAAATTTCACCTAAAAGATGATTTCAAATCAATTTCAATTCGGGAATTATTCCTTTTCCATTCAGCAATGGTGCAAAGTATACCTTGAAAGATCTCTGAAGATAGAAATAATCAGTCCTGGTGCCCCACATCTTTAATCCCAGGGTTCAGAGGAAGCAAGTGAATCTCTGTGAGTCTGAGCGCAGCCTGGACTACCTAGTTCTTGCGGAGCAGGGCTACATATGAAGTCTCTCTCTCTCTCTCTCTCTCTCTCTCTCTCTCTCTCTCTCTCTCTCTCTCTCTCTCTCTCTCACACACACACACACACACACACACACACACACACACCTTGTTGTTTTGCCTGCATGTATGTCTGTGTGACAGTGTCAGATCCCTAGAACTAGAAGAGGTTGGAGCTGCCATGTCGGTGCTGGGAATTAAACCTGGGTCCTTTGGAAGAGCAGCCAGTGTTCTTCATCACTAAGCCATCTCTCCAACTCCCAAAAGAAAGATTTCTTTGTGTAGCCCTGGGTATCCTGGAACTCCTGTAGAACAGGCTGACCTTGAACTCCCAAAGAGCCATCCACCTGACTCTACCTCTCAAATGCTGGGGTTAAAAGCATGTGCAACCACTGACCTTATGAGTTTTGATCATCATCCTCATCATCAGTTTGGTTGGGGTTGACTGATTCTCCGACTTCAGCCTTTGAAATAGAAAGGACAGGCAATCCTACAATGATTAGCCCTTTAAAAAATATAAAGGATGATGGCACTCAGGAGGCAGAGGTGAACAGATCTCTGTGAGCTCAAGGCCAGCCTGGTCTACAAAGTGAGTTCCAGGACAACAGAAAAACCCTGTCTCAAAAAAAAAGGTATGTATGTATGTATGTATGTATTATTGCCAGGCACAGTGGGGGACGCCTTTTAATCCCAGCACTTGGGAGGAAGGGGCAGGCAGATCTCTGTGAGTTTGAGGCCAGCCTGGTCTGTATCTCCAGTTCCAGGATATCTAGGGCTGTTACACAGAGAAACCCTGTCTCAAAAAGTCATGAATAAATAAATAAATAAATAATCTAAGCTCAGGTAATTAAGATTTTAACCACACAAATAAAAAATAAAGTTATTAATCAAGTAAGATTTATTTGATAATAGACTAAGTCATAAATTAGTGTTGACAGGAAATTCAAGTTTGGGGATCACTTGTCAGATTTTTTTCCTCAGTAATAGTAGCAGCAGGTGCATCAGAATGGCCTTGCTTTCAACAAAATCCTGCAAAATTCAGATACAGCCAATATGACAGCATCTTGAGGCAGGGCATTTAAGAGTTGATGGGACCTAAATGTTTATCCTTTGTGGATGACATTGTGCCCCTTCTAAATGGATTGGACAGAGGGTGCTGCTCTCCCTTGCTTCTCAATGTCAGTTGTATGAACAAACAAGAAAGCCCTCATCAGACACCCATGACTTCATCTTGGACTTCCTGGTCACCAGGACTGAGAGAAACCATGCTGTTGTTTAAATTAGTCAATTCAAGTATCCTCTTGTATAGGACAAGTGGACTAAGCCAGCAGACTGAAAACAAGGTCATTTCGAAACAGAAGAGGTAAGAGTGGTATGGCTACCATTTAAAATGTTTAAGGACCGGATATGGAGGGTCCAGTGAGTACAAACGCTGACCTTCATGCTTTGACTGAACCCACCTGCAGTCTTGTGTGCACACACAATATTTAATGACTGTTAGATGTTAAGCCTTTGTTAGAATACATTTACCAAGTAAAGCGAATGTAGCCTTGTAGTGATATTTTGTTTATGGTGTAACAAATAAAGCTTGCCTGAAGATCAGAGTGCAAAGCTAGCCACATTAGTCAGGCATAGAGGCCAGGCAGTGGTGGCACACACCTTTAATCACAATCACAGCAGCCACTAGTTAGCCATAGAAGTTGGGCGGTGGTGGTGCATGCCTTTAATCCCAGCACTGGAGAGGAATATAAGACTGGTAGAGACAGGAATGCAGTGTATTCAGTCTGCAGTCATGCTGAAAACAGGATCAACCCAGCCTTGGTAGAGGTAAGAACTCTCTAGTGGTTGGCTGCTTTGCTTTTCTGATCTTCAGGCAAGCTTTATTTGTTAGATATCACAATTCCCCCTTTTGTCTAATACAAAAGATGTTATAACTAATATAAGAAAAACTAGACAATAAATATAGGCAATAAATATATCAACAATGTCTAGTCCATTTGCATTTGACAAATTCAGAGAAAATACCCCATTATCTATCCTATCTTGGTGAGTTCTAAAGGTTGTACCTAATTCACTTTCTATTCTAATTTGCACTATCAAACTATCTTAATGCCTCTCAACCTTTTACATTTTACATCTCTTTAGTGAGTTTCTTTACTGAGTCTGGTAAAAAAGGAAGACTCAGAGAACCCGGAAGGAAATAATATTTGTTAGATCATAAAATATCACCACATAGCCTTAGAAGTAATAAAATGGAACTTAATGAGCATCTAGTCCTCTTTTATCTATCATTGTTTTAGAGTTTCATTTCGGGAGGTGTGGTAGTTTGAATGTAAATGGTCCCCATAATCTCAAAGGGCGTGGCACTATTAGGAGGTGTGGCTTTGCTCGAGTGGGTATGGCCTTGTTGGAGGAAGTGTGTCACTGTGGGGGTGGGCTTTTGAGGTTTCCCATGCTCAGGACACTGCTCAGTGTGTCAATTGATTTGCTGTTGCCTGCAAGACGTAGGACTCTCAGGTACTACTCCAGCACCACGTCTACCTGCACGCCGCCATGCCCCTCATCATGGTGATAGTGGACGGAACCTCCAAAACCGTAAGCAAGCCCCCTCAATGAAATGTTTTCCTTAGAAGAGTTGCTGTGGTCATGGTGTGTTTTCACAGCAATAGAAACCCAACTAAGACAGAAGTTGGTACCAAGGACTGGGGTGTTGCTGTGATAGCCCTGACCATGTTTTTGTTTGGAGAAATATGGACTTTGGGAGTTTGGGTTAGGAAAGCAGTGGGATGCTTTAAACACTGCTTAATGGGTCATGCTAGGAGGAGCAGGAGGACAGTAGGAGTTGATCAAGAGGTTCCAGAGGAGAAGAATGTTAGTGCATGGCCTAGAGACTGCTCTTGTGATATTTTGGTGCAGAATGTGGTTGCTTTTTGCCATTGTCCATAAAGTCTTCCTAAAGCTAAAGTGAAGAGTTTGGGATTAATTCTGTTGGCAGAGGAAATCTCAAAACAGCCTAGAATAGACTGTTGTGTGGTTTCAGTGGTAACCCCAATGAAGACTTACAATGAAAAGGAGTAAGCAGAGTAGAGTAAATTACAAAGCGTGAGGAGAAACAGAGCACCAGGAAGTGGGATGCAGCTACATCTTGTGTTTAAGGAGATGAACACCTTAAGAAATAGAGCAAAAGCCGGGCGTTGGTGGCGCACGCCTTTAATCCCAGCACTCGGGAGGCAGAGGCAGGCAGATCTCTGCGAGTTCGAGACCAGCCTGGACTACCAAGCGAGTTCCAGGACAGCCCCCAAAAGCCACAGAGAAACCCTGTCTCGAAAAACCAAAAAAAAAAAAAAAAAAAAAAAAAAGAAATAGAGCAAAGGGAGGAATGACCTCAGGGCAAGATCCCACCAAGGTAAGTGTCCAAACTCAAAAAGAACTAAAGAAAAGTTTAGAGCTGGATGTAGTGGGGCATACCACTAACGAACTCTTGGAAGGCAGAGACTGGTGGATCTCTGAGTTCGAGGCCAGCCTGCTCTAGAGATCCAGTCAAGCTTAAGCACTAAAGAACAGAAGGCTTTCGAGGAACTAACTGAAAAGGGTGGGGGGGCATGTTCTAGCTCCAGCAAGCATAAAAACATGGCAGCTTCGGTCACATGGCTCTAGATACAGAGTTAAGGATAGAAGAAAGGAGTTAAGGAATAAAGCTGATGA